GTTTAAATGGCAAATCACTTTTCAAATTGGTGCCACAAAATATTTTCCCCTGTACTATTTTTAAAGACATTAAATAGTGAATAATCTGCATGTATGTATGCATGTTCCTCAGACTGTGAAAAAATGACATTACATAGAGCCATCAAATTTTGAAGAGCATAGTTTTATGCCCAAACTATGCCTTTTAAGAAAAAGTAAAATCATACATTTGGCAGCGTGAAATTTAAAAAAGTGCGAGTAGACAATTTTCATTTGAATGGTGTGTGTGTGAAGGGGGAGGGTATAAAAGATTTCTGTTTGCAGAAAGCTTGGACAATCAATCCTTCATAAATTCCGGTGTGTCCTAATTGGCAGATTTGATCAGAAAAAGTGAATTTTATGTTATAAAGAGATAAACAAAAGCACTCAATTCAACATGCACATACTGCATACATATATTACCTTCTACTGAAAAAATTTTTGGGAGGGACGTTGTGTTAATTTTTGATCCACCATTGGGCATATAATCCAGATGTGAAAGACAAAAAAAGAATATTTTTAAAAATTAAAAAGTACTTTTCAATGCAATTCTATGTTATCTATCAGCCGAAGTTAAAACTTTCATTGTAAAGAAATTAATGACATAGTTTGTCTTCTTAGTCTGAATGAGTGATAAAGAGACTTGAGACTTGAGTTTATAATCCCAAGACCTGAAAATTATAATGCATGCATTTGCCTTCCTTCATATTGCCAGAAAACTTACAAAAACTAATTTTAATACATATAAATAATAAGTGCACATGAGAAATAAAAGCAAATTATTAATACAAATAAATAACATTTGCATGGTGATTTATCTAGAAAGAAAAGAAGTTAATAGGGCTCAGGCAATCTAGGCCTTAGACACAGGATTCTTTCAAGGGCTTCTAACATACTTTGTGAATAGTAACAAACAAAATTATAGGAATTATAAGATGAAGTGAAGAAGTATTATAGTGAAAAATAAAATCTTACATCCTTGATCACAATAATCAGACCCTACCTTCAAAATAACTTTTTCCTTATAATTCCAATTTTAAAAGCTCAACATTTTACATAATATGATTCTTGATTAACAAAAGTTTATAATAAAAGTAACAAAAGTTAAATAGTTTGTTTAACCCTTTCAGGACGGGCGTCCCATATACACATTCCCTAAGAACGTCTCTTACAGCCGGGCATCCCATCCACGCATCGCTAGAGATTGCATTCAGAGGACGGGTGATGCGTATACGCATTTTAAGCTGGAACGTTTTTCCTGAAGGCCACTAGATGGCATTCTATGTCCAGTACTTTTGAAATGAACACAGTTTTAGGTTCCTGACCTTGAGTTTGATATATTCTGTCTGACTTTGGTATTTTACTTATCAACTGTTGTGAGGGGGAGAGCGAATTGTAAACAGAGGTTGGCTCTTTAAATTGCCGTGTGCTAATGTAAATATTCACACATGTCTGATTTATATCCGATTCCTTTTTTAATTCTGTTTTTCCTCTACTATATATGGTCTTTCAGGGTTACTAGACAGCCCAGTCAGTTTTGCATTGACTTCAGATATATTCCCTATATTCCCGTTTTTCCTCTTTTTATTTCTGGAAGTCTCACCTCTTGTCTAATATGGCGCGAAGGCACTATTTATCAAAGGAAGAATACCCTCGTATGGTTAATGAACCATTTAACTAATGCAGATAAGAGTTTTGATTCTTTTTCTAAAGATTTAAAAAGTGATACTTTTTCTAAGAGTTAGAAAGTAATACTTCTCTGTGCTTCGAGATTTACCACACTCAGTCTTCATTTTAAATTTTGTTACTTTTTACTGTAAATAGGCTTTATTGTGTTGTTTTATTAATTTTAGACTGTATTGATGGATTTTATCAATTAAAACTTTGGAAAAATTTGAATAGCGCTTCCGGAAATTATTTTACAAGATAAGGAAATTTTTAAGTATATTTTCATGTAAAATAAAGAAAAAAACGTTATGTGCTAATTTTAACATATAGAAGAGCTCAAGTAATAATCTAAAATGATACCAAAAATTACGAGGCTAGAAGTGAAACTTTTGTTTTCCTGATTTTTTTTATAAAATTACGCTTAGCGATGCAAAACCTCTGTCCTGTACGGTGACTGCATTCGATTCCCTTCTGTCCCGCACAAGCGTCTTAAACAAAGGTGCGCCGTCGCGAAAAGGTTAAGTGTAAAGAACGTGATATTTAATAAAGAAAGGTAACACACAAAATGTTTAAAAAATGCCCCTTTGGATGCAATTTAAAATCTGAAACCTTTCAGATTTTTTTTTCCTTTGTGCTGCTTTTATTTATCCCCCTACTTTCTGATATGTACACATTCATAAGAAATTCCTCTCTAATGTTTTATGTTCTGGTTTATTTCAGTTGAAAATATTTCAAATAAGCCAAATAAATAAAATGGAAATTTTTTAAACAAACAGTGCCCTTTTTTTGAAGGCACAGTGGTATATTTTAAGTTTAGACTTCATTCTTTGCACTCCAAATATGTATCTTCTACATATTCTGTTCTGAATCTTAACCCTCTGACGCGCGGTAGTCGCGCCCTGAAACCACCATTTTCCGAATTTTTTTTTCTCCTCTTTTTTCCAAAAATTTTGAATGAAAATGAATTAATTACTGATCTTTTACATCTAAATAACACAAAATGACTGTAGAATCATATATGTTTAATGTATTAATACTTCAGATCGGATGCCTTTTAAAATTCGTTTTCGATGAGACAAAATAACTTCCTTTTATCAATATAAACAACTTTAAATTTCAAAAGTTAGTCATCGCACATCATGATTTCTATCATAAGCAATAAAACTTGCAGTAATTAAACTGCATATACATAAAAAACCTCTATATGTATGGCATTTGCTATGTGGTTTCAGGGCGCGACCACTGCGCCACTAGAGCATTGTATCACAATGCTCTACAATCCTCTTGGCCGTGCCTTGAAACCACTGGCTGCTTCTCAATGGCGTTCGCTTGCTTTTCAAATAGGAATGTTTATTTTTACCCGGATATAGATAAAGAGCTTTGAAACCACAGAGTTATTTTATTACTAAACAATAGATGCACCTGCCCAGTAAAAAGGTCTTTCTTTTCCAAATACCTTTCTCTGACATCAACACACTTGCTCCCCAAGCTAGTATTGCGATTTTATAAATTATTTCATGTGGTTTAAATTTAATATAAATATACTTTGCTATAATTAAAAATAGAAATTGCGTAAAAGTTTTATTTAAATTAAAAATATTTTCTGAATATTTTGGGACGAAATACGAATACAACAAGTATGAATGGGAAACGAGCGATCCGTACAAAGCCAAAAAGACCGATCCCTTCCCTATTAACATAAAAAAACATAAATTTCATGTGCCAGATGAAAAACTATATAATGCTGGACATATAGTGAAATTTAAATCCAGGCAGTGTACATTTTGTAGTACAAGGAAGAAACCTCGTAGAACAAGATGTATGTGCGAAATGTGCAGTGTGGGTCTATGCATGTGCCAAAAAGACAAAACATGCTTTGAACAGTGTCACAAAAAAATTTGTTCTTTGAAATTAAAAAAAAAAAAAAAAAAAAAAAAAAAAAAAAAAAAAAAAACGGAGTTCTTTTTTATCCTTATTTTATTGAGGTTTTAAATCCATTTATCCAAATGTCCTTATTATGTAGGTACTTATATTTTCACCTGCTATAGAAAAATTATATAAATGTTTATTTTAAATTTTTTCTGACGATTTACTTTGTAAAATAATGTAAAAAAATTATATATAATGCAATTCTTACAAACAATTTTTTTTAAATCTGTAAATTTCGTCATTTATTGGAAACGCGTGCGGAAAAAGGTAAGTTTTTTCCCCTACTACCTATCAGTAAGTTTCAACGTCCTAGACATGCGGTGGTTTCACAGTGCGACCACCACCTACAGAACAATGGCCAAGAGTAGATTTTTTTAATTCATATATTATTTGTCTCTAGGATCATAATATTCAATTTCTAGAGTTTTTAGTTAAAAAAATTATAAAAATAATATCGCACCTGTATGCTTGTTAAGTAAGCCCAGCCTTAAATTTTCTTGGTGTTGAAATTTATACTTCATTTTGTGCATTTCAAGTGTCATTTGTTGAAGATGGATTTGTAGCTATTACTGATTAAGGATCATTATATGCTCAAATGTGCTGAAAGTGAAAAATCTTAAATAAAAGGACAGCCACCCTCCCCAACCAAAGGTTTAAAGACTGAAGGCAGCATCAGTTCTGCATTTAACACATGTTTCTCATTTACTGCACAGCATAGCCATGAGCTACCTGGTGAAATTACACAAAAGCAACATGAACAGTGTCAGTGAATGTTCAAGGCTAAGGCAATAATTATTAATCCCACAAATTAAAAATAATTTTAAAGCTATTTTGATTTTGTTAGCAACTGTGAGTTGTGAGTGTTTATAAGTGACTGAATGAAGCAGCTTTAGTGTACTTTTGATAGTTGTTATTATTTATAAGAAATATGTAATTATTTTTGTACCATGTGAGAATTTGATAGAGTTATACCATTTTTGTACCTGTCTGAAAATCTGGTACAGAGTGCAGGTTTTACAACACAGTAGAACCAATATTACAAATCTTTAAGAAATACTACCTTACTACTTGAATTACAATGTCACTTTACTTTCACCGACAGTATGATACCTAAATGAAATAACTGAATCTAAAACAATTACTATACACATTTTTGTCAAAATTTAATGTTTCATAAGAAAGCAAAACAGGCCCCTATATATTTAAAATTAATTATTTCAATGAAATATATAAAAAAAAATCCCCCCAAAATACTCAATTTTAGGTGAAAAACAATTTTAATAATCTGCATAACACGTGACAAAAAATATTAAAAGCAAGCAAAATGAAAAACCTGATATCTTATGCACTTACAAAATGAAAAACCTGAAATCTTATGCACTTACAGTTCGCTATAGTCTCTATTATTAAGATTGTATAAGAAATCCTGGCCCAGTGCTTCCTGGAATGAATATCTTGGAAGTAAACCTCCAGGCCCAACACAATTACGTGGAGGCCTGGTTCGTGTCAATGCTGTGTATGTACTCCCTTTGCTAGTGTCTCTTACTGCACTTGCTGCACCTGATGCAAAATCCAAAAACCCAACTGCAGGTTTTGCTACAGTTCCAACTATACCTTTGCCAAGACCTGAAAAGAATCCCTAGAAAAAAAAAAAAAAAAAAGAACAAGAATTAAGATAGCAAAATTAAACTATTCTAGTCTTAAATTTCTAAGTACAATTTAATATTTGTAAAATAAAATTTACTATGTAGACAATCAAATTTTGTTTTTATGTAAAACAAAATTTTTATTGTGTTTAAACATTTAAAATGGTGTTTCCCTTTACTGTTGTTAATGCAGTACATTATTGGTTATGATATACATTATTGGTTATGATAGTTTCAGCTCAGTGCTCTCTACTGTTAATGAATACATGGAACAAAGCACATCCTATAAGAATGAAATTTAAGAGGTCTCAACTCGCAAGGTTATGTTAGAAATGTGGTGTTTTACTGGTAGACAGTATGTTGCAGTATTTATTACCACTGTAATTTTTTTCTCATAATTTATAAGCAACAACCAGTCCCCATAAGTATATCTAATCAACTGAGCTGTTTTTGAATTGTAAAGCAGACTTTATTATTTAATTCATAAATAAAATCCAAAAATGTTTATTATCTATTTATTGTACTTTCATTATTAACTGAATGTTGTGGTAAAAATATATTCTGGTAATAGACAAGAGACGTTTTTGAAACTTTACTTTCAATTTGACGCATTGTTCTGATGTCTAACAATGTATACCACAGGTGAAAATATATTCCATTAAAAAATTGCAAAGCAAAAGAACATAAAATACCCAGGAAATAACAGTAAAATTACTCATGGGAAAAAACACCCAGAGGAAAAAGGAGTCTATACCACAGCATTTTGGAAAGCAAAGAGGAGCTTTCACTTATGTTTTAGAAATATACGCTTTTATTTCTTATTTAGACGAAAGAAGATGGAGTAAAATAATAAAAAATAAAATGAAAAATTCATATTCTGAAAATTAAGACCCCATCCCCCAGAAAAAAAGTACATTACATCAGTCACAGAAGATCGAGAATTGAATTAACTATTTGTGACAATGAAACATTCTGCATGAGATCATGCATACATGGCACCCATCATTTGAGACAAGATCTCTTTCGCCAGACAAACCTTGCACTAGCTTAAGTGTTCACCACACATAAATAGCAACTTTCTGCAAATAGTTAAATTACTGAAAACTGATAATTATACATAACTGATTAGCATACTATAATTATATAAAAGCATTAGCTCATAATTATAATTAAAAAGGCTAAATATGCTGCAGATGATTTTAGATTAGTTTTTAAAATAATCACACATGCAGCAATAGCAGGCATTAATCTTTCAAATGATTAGGATTTATATAAAAGAGAAAATAAACACCACAATTACATTCACTAAGTGTGCATAAGAAATTACTTGGTAAAAGTTTACAATTGGGTGCCCCTTGTTTTTCGGCAATTCTTTTTTGACGCCAAGATTGGCGCCAGGAAGACACAATTTCAAGATGGCCGCTACACAAAACCAAAATAAAAGTCAAAAAATTGCATAAACTCTGTGTCCATGTACACATCGATCTGTTTTCACTTAAAAAAAAAAAAAACCTAGAATTGCACAAACTAGGCATTGCACACTGTTTAAATTTGTCCATGTACACATTAATCTATTTTTATTTTTAAAAAATCAGGAGGCTAAAGCAAAGTTACACTATCAAGGTAACCAGAAATACGATTTCATCGCCAAAATTTTACAAAAAATTGTCGCTAATCGAAGGAGCACCCAATTCTACACTAGAGCCAATTACTTTTAATGATGATAATATCCTTTCATAAACTTTTAGCAAACAGAACATTTTTAGGGTGAAGGGAAATTAGTCAAAAATCATTTGGGGAAGAAGAGTACACTGTGACTAATTGAATTTCAAACAATGACCCATAAGCCAAATCAAGGCGGCCTTGTTTTTATATGATTCACATACTAAGAATAATTTTTGCAATTTTTTTTATAACATCAAAGAAACTTTCTTTTGCATTTCACTTAACTGGAAGTAGCTAAACAATTGAAATATAAAGCTTAACTTACTGGTAACACACAAGGATTATTGAAATTCATTGTAAGTACTTGTCATATGTAAGTACTTTTTATACAATTTGTCATATGTAAGTACTTAGTGATTAATAAAATTAAATAAAAATTTTATTAATCATTGAGCATTTTTTTTTTAATTTGGGAGTGGCAATCTTAGCAAAGTACGTGGGCAGCCAATGGCCTAGGAACGGCCCTGGTGCCAGCCTTGCTTCAACTTGCACCTGTACTAATGAATGATAATAGAGATCAAAAACAACATTTATTACTTTTTAATTGCTTAGTTTATTAATAACACATGGATTCAACTTGAAAGAAAAATTAAATATCCTATGCTTTGCAGAATGGCAACAAACAGGTGCATGGAAATATTTACAAAACAATTTATTACTTGTTTGTAATAAATTGGAAATATTTAAATAAATATTTTATTTATTTTAAATATTTCCAATTTAGGCAGTGGAAGCACATTTCTTTTAAATCTCTATGTTTCTGATTAAATTCAAAACATAAATATCTTACACTTTTTGAGTAGCAGCACATTTATTTTAAATTCCCGAGCTTTCAGATTAAATTTGAAACATAAATAAGTTACAGTTTGAGAACAATACTTTTAAGTTGTTAAGTTATCTAAATTTGAAACATAATCTTTCGCTCTACTGAATACATTGTACACTGTCTTTAAACCACTGAGTTTATTAATCAAAATATCATTAAATTCACACAAGATATAAAATTAATATTGAAAAAATTTAAAAATTCAAAACTTGAGCTTCGAGGTGCACATACTACTATGGTGCACTATGGTACAGGTGGAGTACCATGGCACTATGATACACAGCGGGAAAAAAAGGGAGAGCACATTCTAACTGGACCGATTGACGAAATTCAACTTGCATTTTTAATGTCTCGAAAACGCGACTTATGATACATATTATATTTATATACAGCCATATTCTAAACATAGGTGTTCTTACACAAAATCGGACTTCTTCTGAAATGACATGCCAATTTTTTTCCATATTTCAATTCTAAGAACCAAATTATATCAAACTGCAACTTTTACAAAAATGCGTAGTTTTTAAAAAATTAGCTCTCAAAATTTTAGCTCCTCAATGTTAATTGAATCTGACATATATTTATAAACATCTCTTTTTTTTTAATTAAGCCTTTCACCATTCGAAATTTAGGTTCATTCCAAATAAAATTTGCCCATTTTTTATGATTTATTTGTAAAATCTGTATTTTTTAAATATTTTTTTTTAAATTTTTCAATAAAAATTTTGAATTGTAACCTATAAAAATTTTACCATCATCTTAAAGTAGATATATTTCTAAGCATATCTGGAAAAAAAAAAAAAAAAAAAAAAAATGTTATTCAAAATTTTCTAAGATTTGCGTGAATATACATATTGGCACATTTTGAAATTGGGCATACTTATTACAACAAGCGATAATAACGCTAAAGGTGGTTTACGCACTTTGTTAAAATTATTTGAAAGTATGAATGATGACTTTTTTACCGCTCATGTACAATAAAAAAAAGAAAGCAAAACAGGTTGCTATAAATTAAGAAGTTCACCAAGTGAATTATTCTTGGTGCAAACTGAAAATAATGTAAAAGTTAAATTTTTGAATTTCTCCAGAAATTTCGCACCAAATTTTACAAAATTTAGTGTTTAGGAATAATTCGAGTCGCAGAATTGAATATGGAAAAAATTTGGCATGTCGTTTCAGAAAACGTCCGATTTTGTATTGAAATACCTGTTAGAACAATGCTATATAGAAATCTAATCTATATCCTAAGTAACACTTTTGAAACATTAAAAATACAAGTTGAATTTTGTCATTAGAACAATGTTATATAGAAATCTAATATATATTCTAAGTCACACTTTAGAAACATTAAAAACGCAAGTTGAATTCTGTCATTCGGCCCAGTAAAACAGAAAATATAGAACTGTCCCCTTACCCCCCCCACACACAGTATAAACCTAGCTGAATATTAGAATGCTTTGATCGATGCTTATGCAGAAGCAGCCCCACCATTCACTATTATCAATATTTTGCAAAATGTGAAGAAAGCCATAGATGCTCCTATATCAGTGAGATAAATTTCCTGAAAATTGGCCAAAAGTGGCTTGCAAGAAAGCTGTTTTTTGACACCAGCCATTAACATGGAAAAACTGCAGTGGTGTTTAAACAGCCTTTAGATGTAATTAATGGCATATGGTAGTATTATACAATAACAAATCTCATTTCTGCTACAGTAACGGTAGTTATTAAATGAAAACCTGGAGGTGACATGATGAGAGATTGAATTCTGCATTGATTAGAAAATGCCACACTGCCTCTTAATGTTGCATCATTATTCAGTTGCTATTAGCATCTAGTTGTCACCATTTTGCAAAAAAGAGCCATATTCAGCCACATATTGATATGTGGATGAATGCTGTAGCTGAATGCACTGCTTTAACTTCAGAGGTTTGCAAAATGTATTATTTGTCAATATAATAGTATGGCAACACACAGTGAATATCAGTATCCAAATATTTCCTTGGCCATTGTGGTCTCCAGATCTCTCTCTGAGTTTCTATGGGATGCAGTTGGCCATCATTTGAGCCTCACGCTAAAATGTAGGACAATCTATGGATAATATAAACATCCAACCACTGACTAAATCTTTATTGTGAAGAGTTGCTAATTGTATTGCCAAAAAAAGGTAATCCCATTCCTTACTGATAACCCTGTATATTCGATCTTGTAATGCACTGTAAACTTACAATTAAAATCACACATTTAGAAATGGATTCTATGTCTATGTATGTTGGTTTTCATCAAATTCTTTCTGCTCCTTTGAAAGCCTTTGCCTTTTCTCTGACAGTAGTTTAATTGGAGTTGTGAATAAAAGGAATACCTTTGTATCTACCAAATTAGCCTCATTAATAAACAGTATAAATAAGTTGCTAAGAATAAAATTTCATGTAATAAAAGCCACCAATTGCTTTTTGAATTTAAATTTTAATGCAACTCTTAAAATTTACTAAAATATCACTTACCTGGACTCCTTCCTGGACAGCACCTTCATATGTCTGGGTGAAGACACTAGTTACACCACCTATTAAACCAAACCCTAATCCTTTAAGTCCTGCCATCAGATGATCATTACCAGTGGATGCACTTTGCTGCCTAATTTGTTTTCGAATTTTTTGATGTTTTTCATCCATAGTCACTAAACCTAGACCATCAGATAAACTTCCAGAAAGTTTGGCAGCAGAATCTGACAAGCCATGAGTAACATTCTTAAAAAGGCCTCCAACATTCCCTTCATGAATAAGTTTTGAAAATCCATCAGTCACATCATTCATTAATCCCAAAGGATTACCTAAAAAGTCAACAGCACCCAGAATTTTAGCAGCCTGACTTTTGAGTTCCTCTTTGTAGTGTTCTACAATGCTATCAATTAAAAATTCAGCTGTTTCAAAAGGATGAACTCTCAAGAAGGGATCTAGTTCAATGGTGGCATCTTCAAACCTTATTAATCTGAGCCCCATTTTTTTCTTAACTTGAAGCAGATCAAGTGGTAAAGAACTACTTGTAAGAACACTTAGTTTTATTTGCTGTAAGCAAAGCTTTAAAGTACTAAAGTAATACCTTTTCTCATATGCCATGGTCTCAGTTATACTTTTCTGACTTTGATTATTTTCACTTTCATCCATCCTTTCTGCTTCATTTTCTGATTCATGAAATCCAGCAAATTGCAATAATTTTAAAAGAAGTCGTTCTTCTAGTAATACAGTTAAATTTTTCACAGTGATTATTAAATGCTTGAATATATCAGCATTAATAACAGGAGTACATGTTTTCTGTATTGTAAAATGCAAGGCTGGTAAATGCCTTTGATCGTCAGACTTACTAGGCTGAGTAACATACAACAAGACTGGTTTTTCTGCTTCTCTCAGCTGATTGTCAATTTGTATATCTTTTATGCTTCCACAGAAAGTATGAAGCAAGGAAAATTTACTATACTCTATCATTATTTTATGTAACCATATAAAAACAAGTTCCTCAGTTAAGTGATTAACCAAAGATAATCCCAAACCTCCAGATAACTGCAAACAAATTTGTATTTCAATATCATTACTAGTATTCTCAAGATGTTGATTTATATTGCATTCAGAATAAGACAGATCCTCATTTTTAGTTTTGCTTTGATGACTTCCATCCACCATAACCCAGTCTGTATCAATAGAGGTTCTTGAAACATTTTGTTGTTTACTTATGTCAGTTATCTGCAAGACTCTTGTTGGTCCATCAGGAAACACTTTAACTGTTAAAACCCCAGATCCTCCTCGAAGTTTGCGACGAGAAATAGCTTGTTCTATAGGAATGCCGTTTTCTAGTGTAACAAAACTAACAAGCATGCTTGGGCCTAGAACTACCTCATTTCCTCTCCTTAATCCTTTGAAGCCATCTTTTGCCTGCACATACATATTTGGGTAACCACAGCACAGACGGCCATCAGATGTGAACTTCCACGTTTGTGTATGCTGTCTTCTCCCATCTGGTTTTCTCAGTGTAAGGGGAATGAATTCTCCTGGTTGAGGGCCTAAAGCAGCAATATCTAACACCATCGTCCGTGAATTATTTGATGAATTTGGTTTGTGAGGGTCCCGAGGAGGGCTGGATCCTTCATGTTGTAACATACCTACACTAGTCATTCTCCACAACTGAGAACGTTTCCCAGCTTCTCTTTTATTTATAACGACTTTATTTCCATATGCAACATCAAGTACATACTCTTTACCTATTAAAGGATGTGGTGGTGATACAGCTGCACCATCAAGAAATGTTCCAGTAAAAGCAATATAGATAAAATTTTCATAGAACAGTTGGCTGCCTTCTCTAAAAACATTCATATTATATGTTGCAGCTGAACCTCCTGGAGCACAACAAGTTATATAAGGAGGAAGAGTAGGCTCATCAAATGCATATGGGATAGAAGAATGGGCTTTGATTGATGTCTTAAGTCTCTCTTGTTCAACATTAGTTTGATAGTAAGTTATAGCAACTTCAGAAAGGTTGTCAATACGAAAAGGTGGAGGCAGTCTATCTGCATCAGTAAAAATAATAAAAAATGTGGCACTTTGTAAAATTATCTCAACCCTTAAGAAGTTTGATTTTCCCTCGTCATCTCTCATATTTATATGGAATGAATTAATATTGTCAATTGCAAAACCACCTGACCAGTGGCAATTCTCAATATCACACTGCCGCACACAAAGCAAATTATCTAAATCAATACGAGGCCAGTGGAAAGGTAGACTAGATTTTGGCATAGCAGTTAACACAAACTGACGATTTTCCTTTGTGGCAAACAATTGGCAAAATTCTAATTTATGACATGTTCTATTATCAATCTGATACCTAGGAGACAATGTTACAATATGAGTATCCCCATAACGACCTCTGCCAACTCGAACTTCTATACCTATATTATAAACCAGGTCTGGTCTTGAATCTTTCCTCATGACATGCAATCTTCGTACTCTAATTCCTTTCTCCATGTGAAATCTTGTGCACCACTGCGGAATACCATCTGGATGTAGAAATCTTCCAACTCGCATATTGCACATAGCACTTGCTTCTCGATCAGCAAATGAAAATAGAAGTGGAGCCATGCAACGAGCCAGCTCATGTTCTTCAAACTGACCAGCTGCTTCAACACTTGTACCTTCTTGCTTAAATACTAAAGGAAGACCTGATTTATTAACAAGCCAATATGGAGCAGTAATGAAAAGCTTCAGAGCTCCACCAGGCAATGTTCTTACTTTCAAATGAAGTACAAGTAAGCGATCTTGATTATCACATAATTCAATGCGAGATGGGAAATGTCGTGATGTAGAAGACAAAGTTACATCTTTACAACGCTTAAAATTTTCTAAGAAAAATTTAATTGTAAATTGTTCACTGATATCAATATTAGGCAGAGATTTTTCTTTACCTGATTTAATATAACCTAAAATACTTGTATTTTTGAATGTACTGAATGTATAATGAAGTTCATATGGCAGTAAATTGACAATTTCCAGAGATGGGGCAAAAATTATTTTATGAGCTGGCTGTACAATTGGAAGAGGTGAACTTGACTCCTTTTCAACTGGGAATCTCCTTCTTTTTACTAAGACTAAATACCTATAGAAATCTGAGGACTTCAAAACAGAACTGCATTGTTTTAAAGAACCTTTAATATCCCCAGGTTTGGTAACATTATTCCATACAATACTATAATTACAAAAGGTAACAGACTTGTCCACTGGTCGAGCCCAAATTTGAGCATGTACAAAAGGTAATGGTATTGGCAAAATCTGTTCAGGTATTACATATAGTGACAAACTTTGGATACCATACTGTATTCCTGAATTTTCCAGTTTCATTTCAATTGTGTCTCCTAATTTATTTTCAACAAGAAGAGAAGACTGCACAGTAATCAGCTTCCGGGCACTCCCTTCAAGAGTCACCACAAACACAATTCTAGCTGGTGGTTTTTCAGTATATATTGAAGCTGAATGACTTATTTGAGGATTGGCATGTCTAAAATATGTTCCCACTCTATCAACAGATACTGGAGATACAGGAAGCCAACCATCAATCCTAACTATGATTTGGTGTATTTTCATAGCATGGGAATCCTTGTGCCGCATTTTTGATCTGCTTTCAAATGGAACAGGAAGCAGATGACCAGAAGGTACTTCTGTCCAGTTTAATGCAAATTTGCTGTTTTGGGTAGGTGCTGTTTGATTTTGAAAGTCAAGAGACTGCTGGTGGGCAGCTGTAATTTGAGTCGCAAACCATAATTTGCACCCTGTGTTATTTTTTAAAGCAAATGGCACAAATGGCAATCTCCGTCGATAACAACCAGGACTATGCAGTTCGGCTGTTACTTCTTTATTTCTAGTATTCATGTTGAAATAATCTTCTGTCCAGTTCTTTTTAACAGTTCTATAAAGTTCAATAAGGGAGGATGTCACATTCAAGTTAATTGCATCTTCAGAAGAAATGGTACACATCACTCTCTTGCCAGGTTTAGATTGATTGGGTTGTAGTCTCCATTTCACACCACACTTCCACGGTTCTACTACTGGCTCCCACCCAGATAATGCACGATTATAATAATCTGCACTAAAGCCAAAATTCCCATTGCCTTCAGGGCAAGAAAGAAACTTGTGTACAAAAACTACATCTGATAAGTTTAGTTCTATCACAGGAACATCTGCATCTCGACAGTCATCAATGATGCACAAGCTACATGAATTAATACGAATTTCTGCAGTAGTCACATTTATACCCTGAACAGTATTGGGTTCTGTAGCAAGATATTCAGCAGGACTAATAGCCCCATCATTTGCTAAGTCTAAATGTGGGCAAGCATGTTCAGTAAGCCACAATGCAGCAGCATCTAAATTGCCTCTGCAAGCACTTAATGCTTTTTGACAATCTTCAGCTGAGAATCCAAGATTTGCTAAACGGCTGACGTCAAAAGAATTAAACTGGTTTTCATCTTTCGATGTAGATGTTACACTTGACTTGGTATGAAAGGCTGTTTGACGTTTAATAGATTCAAAGATTTTCAAAAACATTGTTATATCATAATAAGACAGACGGAGATTTAAATTCATGGTTGATATTTCTAATATATGATGTACATCAGAAGATTCTAGTCTAATAATTGGAGAATTGGTTTTTTTCACTATTTCAATGCTTACTGTCAATGGATCAATTATTGAAAGAGCTGTGTCTTCCTCTACTCCTAAAATACAAGAGAAAACTTCAAGGCTTTGTAAACTACAAGAAAGTGGTTTTTCAGCATAATCAGGCTTCCACGTAATGACAGCTGTCGATTTTGCAATTACCGCATTACTGTCCCATAAAGATGTATCTTCCACAACAACAAATTCAGTATCAGTTACATTTACTTTAATCTCAAAATTTATTGTAGTCTTCACAGGATACTTGTTCTTAACTGATTTCTGAAGTGATTCTGGAGAATCTGCCTGAGATTCATAGTTTGAAACAGTTAAAAATTTCAAAACTGACTGAAGAAAGTCAAAAACTCCCATAATTCTCATGTTATTAAGCAGAACAGTAAAACGTGTAAATTCACGAGTGATCCGATAATGAACTTCAGCTTGCAAAGTAGAACCACTGTTTTCTTTCTTCTTAATGGGTTGCAAAATTTTCGTAAACACATTAGGGCGGTTATTTACTGGAGCATCTTTAAAACGAATATCGGATACCTGGACCATATTGGAGACTAAATCGATATCTCGACTGTTATCAGAGAAAGCTTCATATGACAATCGTGACTTAATAAAATCAAACTTAGCCAATGAGCACTCACTAGGTTTGTTAACTATGCCATCATTTCTTAAAAGTTCCAATGAGACATTTACTAAATCCATATGAATCGCCATTGTCGTCCATGTTTTATCCTCTGTATCCATTAAAACAAACTGCTCGCTTTCAGAACATGGATCATATGAGAACTCCTCTAAAGGTTCTCCCAAATTCTGGTTAAGAATCCCAAATATTAATTTATATTGTTTTTTATCTAAAGTAACATAGACTGATGAAACAACTCCCTCTATTGCCCAGTCAGGAGCTGAGTGACTAATAGCTGAATCCAAGTTTCTCTCAACTTGCACTTTAAGCATAAACTTTTCTTGAAGCAAATCATTTCCTTGTTTTTTTATAATAAAAGAGGGAAATACCAAATATTTTTCAGAAGGTGAAATTGTAGTATTTCTTCTGTGTTTATTCTTCTTATCTTGCTTTATGCGAATGGCAGAATATAAATCCATATCTGTTAATTCTACATTGATTACATCCAAAAGGCATTCATAATCCTCTGGTGATGGTCTTCTTACTTTATGACTATCACAGGAGTCCAGCTTTGATTCCAAAGTGTCAAAACTATTTTGATTGTCAACAGAATGCATGTCAGAGGTTATTTTGGAACATTTAATAGTGCCCTTACTACCAGCAGGAAGAAACATATTCCGGACAGTAATTTGTCCTAAATCAGCTACAAGGACATCATTCAGTGAGGAACTCTGTGGAATTACAATAACAGGAGAACCAGCGGAAATGTCTAGCAAGATGCGCGATCCTCTGACAGCTTCTGTACTTACAACTGTACCAGAGGCAGCAAGTCTGATTTTTCTGATAAGCTCTTGCATTTCGTTAAAATGGCGAAAAAAGGCAGTCACTTCTGTAAGAAAACGTTGTGTATGAACATATTGTACTGAGCTCATTTGACATTTAATACTTATATCATAATCAGTTTGCCATGATGAAATCAGACTACTATATTTAAAGATATGAAAATGCAATGCCTCACTGCCAGTTGTTACAAATTTTTCTGGATACAAATAGCCATGTGGGGATAAATCACTCAATGATATGCTACCAAGTGTGCCTTTGATAATATATGTATGTTCACGTAATGACATATCTGATATAAAATTTGAAACATTGACACTTGCTAATTTATATTCTGGTTTATTAAGAATAACTGTTAAGCTCTTGACTTTCAATTGAATTTCAGAATTTGTAACCTCTTCTAAGCTATGCTCATTTTTTTTTGAAGCAAAGCTACTATTTTTAAAAGATATGTAGCTTTTTTCACTTACTTCTTGCTCAGCATCACTATTTGAATTAAAAAAATCCAATAACATCACCCACGTCTGCAAATTTAGAACGATATCTAAACAATTGAAATCTATATCAATGAAACGATTTGTTTTTTTATATTTTGTGGCAAATTGTGGTGACTTTTTATCTATGAAAGTTATATTGATAAACACCAAAGCTTCATGAGAAAGCTGTGGCTGAAGTTCTTTGGATATAGTAGGGGATGGGGGAGGAGTACTTGGATAACTATCTTCACTTTTAGATATAGATCTTTGATGAGTGTTACCAATCAAAACCTTTCGAGATGAACTCTGAAGAGAGAACATATTCTGTGTATATAATTTATCTGGTAAAGACATTGAAGATGTGCTATAAAATGCAGAGTTCGCATCAGACAAACTTGGACATGAAACAGATATATATTGAGATTTGGGTGGCTTGGAATATGAAGCTATTTTGCTCTGATTGACTGAACTCATGAGATAGCAATGGTGAGATACATCCATGTTCCTCAAATCTTCCATCAAGAGGGTTTGAAGAGTAACTAACAATGTAGCTTCATACATCTTATCCATGTAATATTCTAAAATAAATTCTTGGAATTTCAAACTTACAATGCCTTCTTCTCTGTCGGACAAATCTCCTCGCAATTCAGCGATTAGATCAGGTAATTCGAATGATACTTTAATTGTTTTATCTAATGTAGCTGTACTAGTATGAGATAATTTTTGTTTCTCACTCTCTGAAGATAACTCTTCAGCAACATAAGATTCAGTTCTAGGAGAGAGACATTCAAAATTCTCCAATGATGAGGAATCTTTACAGTATGTTAAATTTTCAATAACTTTAATCATCTGCTGAAATTGATGCTTAGTTAGAACAACTTTTAAAGGATTGACTACACATCCTTTAACCTCAATCTGATTAATTTTTTTATCCTGTTCATACAAAATGCTAGATTTTCCCTGAGAAATAGAAAAAGGAACTTCAGATGCCATATCTATTTTATCTGAACCAACAATAATTTCGACAACAGTATCATGAACAATAAGTTGATTTTTATCTTCACTGGCATACAGATCTTTCAGATGTAAATTTGGTATCATAGCAATATCAGAAGAATTTAATGCAGTGGAAAAACTTTGAGCACTTTTTTCCACATTGACAAAATGCATATTCATATCTCGTATTTCAATCAGTACAATATCAGACACATTGAAATCTTGAAATTTGAGAGAAAACTGATCAGGGTTCAAAATTCCTGGTGCTCCTTTCTGCACTGCAATGCGTCCTAAATGAGCGATAAGAACATCTGCACTTTGAGGTGATGATGGGAATGCTACAATTGGTGTCTGCAATAAAATATCTAACTGCATGTCTACAGATACATCCTCCAAATCTTCTACATGTAAAACATTATCTCCATCTGTCAGTTCATCAATACTTTCAAAACGAGACCTGAAGGGCCCAAGTTCAGGCTGGTTGCCATGTATTGAAGCACTAATAGATCCAGTTCTTTTTGATACAATACCAATAGCCACTTCAGTAGCAGCAGTCTTGATTGAACTTGCTAAAGAGCTCATATAAGCTTTAAATTCTGTAGCACATGAGGATAGCTCATATAACAGCCGTGGTGAGTGAGTATAACACAAAGATGCCATACGCAAGTTAATGTCAAGATAACCTTGCTGCTTAAGTTGTTCTTCATCATAAAATGATGAATTATAATTTTCAGAGACACATGGAGATACAGTTTTATCACTTCTTGTTATTTTAAATGTTAAAGCATACATTGGTTCTAAGATAGCAGAATGTGTTAATGGTTTGTACATATCTTCTTGAAGTCGGCTTAATAAATCAATATGCTCTTCAATTAATGGGTCATAACCTATGCTGACAATTTTCTGATGCTTTGTATTCTCGGTGATTAAATCAAGAACTTGAAGTCCACCAAGACTGCCTTGAATTTCAATAACATTTCCTAAAAAAAAAAATAATTTATTACATATATATATGTATGCACAAACAATTATTATACATATATATATGTATACACTAACAAAATGATTCAAGAGTAAGTAAGTATTTAAAAAATTTGATTTATGTGTATTTTTATTAAGAATAAAACTAAAAAATGCATAAAATCATGCACCTTTTTTATTTAAAGAATTTGCAAATTTAATTCTAAATATGTCTATAAGGCATAAAAACACAAAATACATTAAATGTTTTCCCAAAATGGAAATACATTTGCTCAGTAAGAATTCATCAAGAATGGACAAACTCATTAGTTATTTAGCCATTTCATCATTGACAACACTGCCCAGCACGCACTGAATGGGGCAAACAATACTGCACTCACGAAGGAGGAAAAATGAAGACAAGAAAACTACAGCCAACCTTTACATGGCAGTCAATCCTACAACCATAGTTATGGACTAGCATCTACTAATCACTAAAGAGATCAGCTAATATCAGCTGTTGAATAAAATAGTCATCACTACTAAACATTGCCTGATAATAAATTAAGGCAGTAAGAATCATTGAATATGTGCTGTTGAGTGATTTCTGAATGTTCATGATTTCAGGTAGACCCATAACTAACACTCACAGGGTATAAAATCTACAAGTTAAGATCATTATGATGAAAGTGATGGCTTATCAATCAAGTCCCTCCAAATATTAAGTGTTGTTCATAGGGGAAGCAACCTGAAATGATGCTTCTCCATCCTGCATGAATGCCACAAAGTCCACTGCTTACTTTTCTTCCAGGTTAGGAAATATGATGTTCCAAAAGGTTGGTGTAATACAATCTATGGTAGTTACAGATGCATATATTCAGGATTCTAAAGTACAATGCTATCTAATGGATATGAATATCATTAAAAAATTTATATAATAAAATGATTTAAGTTACATTAAAAAAAGCATGAATATTATGAAATGGCATTGAATCTTCAGGATATACTTTACTTTCAAGTAGTTAATGGAGCAAGATTTAGAAGTCACCAGTACTTAGCTGCCAGTTTACATTTTGGGATTTGTTTCTTATAGGAGCTCATTGGCTACATAAAAATCTGGTTTTTCATATGTGCAAAATAAATATGGGTCTAGTTTCTCTTAAAATATAGCTTGCCTATTATGACAGACAGCTTTAGTGTGCTTCTATATTCAAACAGCTAATTAAATAAATAAATTTTAGATGATTCAGATATGTTTAAGACACAATAACACGCCGAACAAATACTAATTCAGAAGTCAAACAACAAAAATTAGCGTTATATTTTCAAATTTTTCACATAATTTGAAAATATAGCGCTGATTTTTGTTGTTTGACTTCTGAATTAGTATATGTTTATTAAGTCACATCACACGAGATTGCCACTATGTCTGAGACCTTATCAATTGCAAACAACGTTGGATTATATGGATGGGATTATTGCAAAATACATAAGGGCTATCTGTCTTAACTGGAGGGATGCCTTCATTGTGGATCTTTTACAAGAAACTGGCTGATATTCATGTATACAAAGGGAAAACTCCCATGTAGCCAGTTTGACACAACTTGAAAGTCAAAGTGCCAGTGTTCAGCAACCATACTACTTGCCTACTGCCGGGTCCAGTTATAATCAAGATACTCTCTTCAGAATTCATGATTGAAATGCATATACTTTTCTAGAGAGACATCAAAGACTTGAGGGCATATTTAAATACCTTACTCTTAAATCATTTCCAAATTTCTTCACTGATGGGATTTTCTATCTTTATTTTTAAAAATCGATTGACACAGCATATTTTAAATCCAAGAATAATTTTGATAAGAGTTTTTTTCAAAATACAATAATTTGAGTGTAACTCTGCACTGAACAGGTTGGAAGTCCATTAAAATATTAACATTTATTTCCTACTATGAAAGAGGAAAAAATAAAATTGAAAGTGCAGAAAATAATAAAGTATTTTCCCCCCAAAGACAAACATGTGTTCACTTTAAAATGCCAAAACTGAAGGACAAAGCTGATCTTGATATTTCATGCAGATTAGTAGTTGTACCAAAAGTAATGCAAAAAACGCAACCTAATTTTGTTCCCTCTGATACAAATTATCCAAATTTCATGTATTACTACAGTGAACCCTCCTCTATGCAAACATATAATAATAGATATGAAATACAAAGTATCATCAATAAGTTCCTGACAAAAGATAAATGCAGCCTGTTTAATATCCACTTAAGGCTAAAAGATGCTTACAAAGATTTCTGAAAGCAATATGCACAGTGTAAGCAATTTAAAGAGGGAAACTAGCACTGAAGATAAATCATACAGAGGAAGGGCATTAACTGCAACAAAGGTCACTAACCTTCAACAGATCTAATAATTTTGTGCATCTCCAAATCAGATGATGGTGGTTCAGTGAGTTCACTAATTTTAACACTTTTTCATTTTTAACAATATATTAATTACTATATATAGAGCGTATTCTTAGGCCGCCGCCTTCAACATGAACAAACTTTATTCTCTTACAACTAAGCGAGCAACAGCGCCCTCTAGCCTTTTTCTTCAAATTACACAACACTCCCCACCTGAACTCGGTGGAGAGTTCATCTTTCAATAATATATTCTAGAATATTCAATTAATATTTCGACAATAAATCCTGGAGAAATGGTTAAATATAACAAACATGCATACATAATAAAAGCACATAAAATTTTACAAAACATTAAATGATACCTATCAGCAAGGTCAGGAGAATCAAACCTAAAAATACAAAATACAAACATTAGTTAAGTTCCATATTATATAACAATTGTATAGGCCTTTTTAAGGTACCAGTAGGTGTTTTAATTATGCAAGATCTTATTTTACCATCTCTGCCTGGCATTAATTCCAAAATTTACCTATTGTCCAAAGATTTCTGGGATGTTTGTCGTCATGAATCAAGACAATATCGTTGATTTTAAACTGAGATGCGTTAGAGTGTGGAGGACAAATATTGGCAGATCTCAGATTAAAAAGATACTCTGATCTCCAACGCTTCCAAAAATGATTTAAAATATCTTGATGGTATTTATATCGTTTAATAATTGAATTTCTTGACCCAGTCAAATTATTTGATGTTATTTTATTAGCAGGCAGAGATAGCAATCGTCTACCAACCAGAAAATGAGAGGGTGTTAGTGGAGAAGGTTCATTGGGATCGGTAAACACGTAGGTAATTGGTCTACAATTAATCATTGCCTGGATTTCAAGCTCTTTCACAGTAAGGGATGCTCGACCAATAATTTTGCATAAGCTGGATTTTATGGTTCGTACCATACGCTCCCAAAACCCTCCCCACCATGGACCCCTCTCAATAATAAATTTCCAATTTATGCCTCTAGCAGAAAATAATTCTTTCACAGATGAGTCACTCAAAGTTTTAAAAATATGTTTTAGTTCTTTATCAGCTCTTTTAAAAGTCTTGGCATTATCGGAGTACACGGTGGTACACAGTCCTCGGCGAGCTAAAAATCTTCGGAAAGCTAGCTTTCAGTGCTAAAACTTTCAGTGCTGAGATCAGTTACTATCTCTATATGTAAGGCACGAGTCACCGCACACGTTAACAACAGCATGTAAACTTTACCTTGCCTGTCTTTCGTAAAAAATGGACCGGCGAAGTCCAACCCGGTCACAGCAAATGGAGGCGACTCTTGGATTCTGTCTGGAGGAAGTGGAGTGATATCCTGTACCCCAGGACGTGCACTATATCGTTTGCATATCACACATTTTCTATGATAGTCTTAACACGCTGTCTTCCCTTAATGATCCAATATTTGTCTCTGATCTGAGTTAGTGTCGAATTAACTCCAGCATGGAATACCCTTTCATGCGAGTCCATGATGATCAACTCGGTAAACTTGCATTTTGAGGGTAATAGAATAGGATGTTTTAAATTCTCGTGACAGTCTGCAAATTGAATGCGACCTTTCAACCGAAGAATTCCCTCCTCATCAAGCCTTGGATTAAGGGAGTAGATGGAAGAATCGAGAATTGATTTTTTATTTGATAACTTAATTATTTCCGCTTGATACGATTCTCGTTGCGTAATTTTTACCCAATAATGTTCAGCTGCTTTAATCTCAAAAGCACTTAAAGGTCCATTCTCTGTAGACCTTTTCCGAAGCCTCCCAATAAATCTAAATACATAGGCAGTAATTCGAAGTAATTTTCCTAAAGAACTGAATTTTTCTATATGCAAAATTGGGGATTCATTGTTAATTACAGGTGCAGTCAAAATAATACTTTTTCTTAACTCCAACGATTCTGAATTTGGTTTTAATTTCTTTTGTTTTGGAAAGTTTTCAGTAGGAAAACGTAACCAGTGTGGCCCATGCCACCACAGATCATTCTTAACTAGTGACTGAGCACTAATTCCTCGAGTTAGTAAATCGGAAGGATTTTGTTTCCCTTCGCAATGGTTCCACAATTTTTTGTTGCATATACTCTGTATTTCTGTAACACGATTGGCGATAAATGGTTTCCAATTATTTGGCGAACCTTTAATCCAAGTAATGGCGATTTCGGAATCACTCACTCCAAAAATAAACATCCTCAATTAAATCACCAAACAATTTTTTCAAATATTTATACATTCGAGCAGCCACGAGTGCTCCCATTAACTCTAAACGAGGAAGCGTGATTGCTCTTAAAGGTGCAACTCTGCATTTCGACATGATAAAGGAAGTTTTAATTTTAGAATCACTCGTACAATATCTGAAATATGCGATGGCCCCATATGCTTTAGGACTAGCGTCCGAAAATAGGTGAAGGCTTATATTCATTGGATCGTCATCAAAGAAATTTCTCTGTATCGATATTTCAGTTAAATCATTAAGTTCCTCCCGCCAAATGTTGAATTTGTCCTTAATCTCTGCAGGAAGGACCTCATCCCAGTCAGAACCGGAACACCACCAGATTTCTTGCATAATAATTTTTGCGCCCGAA